ATGCCTTCAGCGACGATGATGATGATGTGGACGCTGTTCGTGTCAATGCTGGTTCCCGGGGTGTTCGTGGTAGCTCCAATAGTACTCGTGCTTCTGGTGGTCGTGCTGCTTCTGGTGGTCGTAGTTCTCGTGGTGCTAGTGGGAATGTTGGGTTATCTAGACCTCCTCCAGAAATTCCTTCTGTCGATCGAATTCGTGTTGATCCTGAGCATGCAATGAGAAACAAGAGAATCAAGAGGGATTTCTCATCCGAGTACCGTGAAGCCCAGTTGAGAAGGGACGAAGTTCTGAGAGAGAAACAGTCAGAGGGAGTTCGAGTTGGGTATGACGGAGCTGTTGGTGACGAGTCTTCGGACTAATGCTTTCAGAACGACGTCCTTCACGGAGATCGCCCAGCATATTGCGGCGTTCCGACAATCGTTGAGGGAACCTCTTCAAGATGCTCGAGGTAATGAAGAAGCCTTCGAAGTAAGAGATGTGAGTGAAGGTGAAACCGCCTTTGATGGTAACGATGATTTCTCTGATGATGGGTCTGAAGTAGTTAGACGTTAGTTTTTTTTTTTCTTTTGAATAAAACCTTTTTTTTTAACTAATATTTACCTGATTATATCAGTAATGACCTTCTACAATTCCTCATTCATTACAATAATAAATTTGATCATAACTTCAAAACTATAACGCACTGTTCATCGATCTAATCTCTTTATTTTTTATTTCGTGCGAAATGTACAGTGTAATCTGCCAATACTACATCCACAACCAAATCCCTCCATCTATTCAGTGTACGACCAGAAATACTTTTGATGTTGTCGAACGATTGAAGCAACAATACATCCTTTCTTGACTGACCTACATCTACGTCTTCAAAAAAATCGCCACCAAAATTGTCGTTTTCAGTAATCAAGAAATTATGCAAAAGAGCACAAACCGACACCATCTCGTCGATCTTCATCACGTCCTCGTTGCAATTTATCTGGATAGGAATGTTCTTCAAGATCCTCCATTTACCTTTCAGTACAGCGATCGTGTTCTCGACCGCAACTCTCGCAGAAGAATGTACCTTGTCGAAATCTTCGCACTTCTTGGATTTCAGTACCTGAGGTCTCCTGAAAGGGGTAAGAACGAATGGATGTAGAGCATATCCGGAATCACCCAGAAGATACTCATGGTTTGCACCATTACCACATGTGAAATAAAGGTGATCTTTATTTACCATAAAGCTGGCATGCTCTACACATGTGGCGTCACCCACTGAACCTACATGTTCTACTTGCAATCCAAAAATGATCATCCTTTCGTCGCATACGACTTGACAATTCAGAGAGTAGAAACCCTTTCGGTTATAGTACGTTCCGGCATGCTTCGTTGGCTTCTGCGCAAGACGGAAATGAGTACCATCAATATACCCAATGCAATTTCGAAAAAAGTGGTACTTCTTGATTGCTGCGGCCGACAATTCTCTTTGCTCCTTGTTGGGCCAACGCATCAAATGTCCAAGGTTGTCATTAATTGCCTTGAAACAGCGTTGCGTGTAGTTGGTGACAGAGCCTTTACTAATCCCAAACAAAGTAGCAATTTGGTCGATGCTGTTGCCTGTTCCGTCGTGGCTCAATCGTCTTAAGGTCACCGCAAGTTGGATATGAACATCCGTTTGGACGACAAAACTCTTGTTGTTGAAGACAGGATGGTCTTCAATAAGGCGAAGAAGTTTCAAGAAAGACTCCTTCTTCATTCGACACATCTTGACAAACTCTTCGTCATCCCACTTGAGAAAAAACTCACGGTACTGGTTAAGTTTAGGGATGCCTGCTCCACTGTTCAAAACGCGTTTCGTTTCTAATCCGCTCAATAATTCGTGCATCTCATCGGCTTGTTTATCGTCTTCAATGATGACACTGTGCTTATGCAAAGTTTTCATTTCTTTCAAGGTTTGTTGTCTGGTTGATAATTTGGGCATTGTAAAGGTAGTTTATAGAGAGATTTATAAGTAAATGAGTAGTAAAAGAGGAGTAAAAGAGGAACTAAATCAGAGAAGTGCTAGAGTGTACTTTGACTAAGTGACAAGGTTTTTAGACAGTCACCCACACAAAAAAAGCTCCCGGAATTTTTAAAAAAAGCGCCCGATAATTTTATAAAACGTTTAATGTTTGGGACCCCCTAATGAGTCTGGTAACGTAGAATTTGAAAGTAAGTACAATATTACTGTTACCAGATGATAAATACGTTGTATCATTAACATTTGTTTTTGTATTATTAGATAAATTGAATAAGATCTGCCCTCACTACTATCGTTTCAAGGACGTAATGGGTGATAGACATACTGGTTCTGCAGACCCCAATCGCTCCGGCAAAAGTTTTGATTTGGAATGTAGACGGAAGCCAACATCAGCTGTAACTAGTGATGATGATGATGATGATAGTTCCGATGCCTCTTTTTCCGATGAAGATGATTCGGATAATTCAAATGGTCAGAAGAACAGGAGAAAGTTGGGAGGGATTTCTTTTCGTGATTTGAAGACGCTCGCAAAGCAAAACCAACAGATCATAGACAATTCGATATCTCGTCTTTTAGTCCAAAAATCGCTTGAAAAAATCTTCGAAGCAAGACTGGAATCTCTGAACAAGTATGCTTTGGCTAAGGATTGGACATTCGATCAATTAACAGAGGCCACTAAGAAATTACAAGATGAAATTTTTCATAAAAGTGATCATAATAGTATTTGAATTTTAATAAACTTTATGTTTAGATTACTCTACTCTCTGCGTTTTCTTGCTTCTTTTCTTTGTGTCATTTCCTCCAAAACGCTCTTCGTAACCGATTCGTACTTTGCTTTACCTATCTCTGAATTAACATGATCCTCTTCGCTGTCTTCGTCTGCATAGATAGGAATTCCTTGCATCGGATTTTGTCTATCCGCTGCTTCCTTTTCGGCAAATTGCTTTTCCAATAGGGCTGTAAAACTTTCATCTTTACGGCTGATCAAAAAGTTGTTTAGAGCAATACAAACACGGATCCATGCACTGGCATATCTCACATCTTGCTTAGATTGTACCTGTAATCGCAATTGTTTTAAACTTTGAAATCGTGCTTTGAGAATCCCGAAAGCATGTTCAATTTTGATTCTCATTTGTGAAATGCAAGTATTAAACTTTTGATCTTCATCATTTGTAGTTCCATTTCATGGTTTTTTGCTTACAGGTACCAAGTACCTAGACGGAGAGTAGCCACCATCACCTAAGACGTACTCATTTCCAGTGCAATACTTTGAAGGATTTTGGCCATAGTCGCTTTCACTGAACACACGCATGTCATGGGAGCTGCCAAAATACCCCGTCTCTACGTATCGGATACGTCTTCGATGGTCGCAAATAGCCATGGTTTGGATTGAGTACCCACCCTTTCTGCAATAGAACTCATCCCTTCTCCATGCTGGAGCCTCTTCCAAAAAAATGTGAGTACCGTCGATAAACCCAAGACAGTCAGGAAACCTCAAGTACGATTTGGTGACAGCCTTGATGACTTCCCTCTCTTCATTTTTGGGCCACTAAGTGAATTGATCCTCCATCGAAAGAATGACTTTTAAAAATCTGGTAGTGTAATTCTGGATCGAACCGCCTAAGGGTACAAAGATTCAGTTATAATTAGTAGCTATTTCGAGTTCCTTTGTCATTGAGTACTTACTACCAACACCAGAGCGTCTAGCAAGCTTTGCAATTGAAGATCCATTTCCGTATGATTCTAACCTTTCAAGAACAATAGCCATTTGCATTCTAACGTCAGTTTGAGGACGTGTACCGTTGGACTGGTACAAAGGGTGGTCCTTGATGAGATTATAAAGCGCGTTAAAAGAATTTCGGTCCATTCTGAGCTCGTTGACAAACCCCTCGTCGTCGATCTGGTTTAGCAAAAAATCCAATCTTCTTTCTTTGGTCACAAGTTTTGGAGCATTGTGTTTTCCACGGACAATATATCTCTTTGATTTAATATATTTCATCATTTGCTTGTCGACGTTATGTTTCAAATTGAAGTGTAGAACTTCGGCAATGTCTTGAAGATCTTTTCTATCACTTTCATCGAGTTCGGGACGCTTTGCATATTCTTCTAAGTATGCGATGTTTGCACTGGTCAATACCTTTTGATTAAGGTAACGCTTTTGGAAAGTTCGGTACAATTTTTTCTTTGTGCTTTGACGAGGCATGATGTATACGTTTTAAATCCATGAAAACAAAGTAAAGAGAGGTAAAAAGGGAGATTCTAGATGTCTTTAACCACTTTTCTTTAACATAACGGACGTCTTCACTTAAGCGTTGCACAGTAAAAATTTACGTCATTATTATGTAATATTTTTTTATTTTCTTTTATTCTTGAATGTTCGTGAAATTTCTTGGTCAAATTATAAAAAAAAGAAAATTAACCTGATTGGCTGATTTTTTTATTCACAAAAATACGATTTATTCAAAATACGGCAATTGAATACCCTTATTAAACTACTTGTGTTGTCAGGTTCTTTATCCTTGTTTAAGTGTCGCTCCCGAGTTAGGTTAAGGTGCTAATGCGTACAGTCAGGAATATAAATAACTTTAAACAGGAAGAAAGTTGTTTTATTAGATTACGCGTCTCATTACAATATACTACTACTAAACTAGTGACGTAACAGTCACGTGATCTATTTTTGTCGTATCAAGTATATAGTTACACAATATTATTTATATATAATTAGATGAACCACAGATCTTAATAAAACATCTTTATCTTATCTTACTAAAATATATTATCGTGACTCCCTTAATACATGGTGAGGCTCCCTTTTTATAAACATTAAGCAGTTTCACAAATATATAAGTAAATCAACATCAACAACAAAAGAAAAAGACTCGACGATTCTTCTCGAAATCGCCAGCGACGAAAATTTACCTTATTTGATAATCTTCTCGACGACGATCAATTTTCGGATTCATCAAGTATCTACTTCGACGCTCCTGACAATTTTTACATCAACATGGCCGACTCTACTTCAATTTCCAATGCTACAAGCACACCCGACTCTTTGTCAATTCAAGAGCAAATGTACTTATATAGCAGAATAGAAAAAATAGTAGTGGAACCATATCGTATCAGCGATGATAACATTCGTCAGTGGTTTAAGAATTTTGAGCTTGTCGCCAAACGATACCGAGTGACCAACATGAACTATTGCATCGACCATGTTCAGTTATACTTACCTCGTCCAATCACTCAGTTGATACCCACCTTTCCAGAAATTGCACTGCTTAGCTGGAAGTTGTTCACAGAAGCGATTATGAGACAATTCTCTCGAGGTGCTACATATGATGATAATAAGGTCAAAATGAGGCTTCGACAGATGAAACAAGGTCAATCAACAGCATTGATATTACACATATCAGATTGGACTCATTGTCACAGTCTATTATCCACACCTTTATCAACCGAGCAACAGGTCGACAAATTTCTACAATCCTTATTCAATCAACAATTGCGTTATACACTACTCAGTAAAAATGAGGTGAAAGCTTTTGATACACTTTTAGATGCCACCCAGTCGGCGTTAGAATTGGAAAGAAAAGGTAGATGGGAAGAAGATCTGAAGCCAATTGGTACAACAGCAGGACCGTATATAGATGATGAAGAAACCACCGATATAGACCACATGGATACATCGCTAGCTGTAACTCATCACCCATACCAACCAAGAACACCACCAAGAAACAAAGGTACTTACACTCAACAATACGACCGTGAAGATAAACCTATCTGTTTTTATTGTGGATTTCGCGGTCATAGACATGAGTCTAAGGATTGTTTCCACAAAGAAAAATCAAAAAAGAGCGGAAATCCAAAGAAGCATCCAAACACAGCATCTGTACAACAGGTTGATGCTGCTGAAAATACAGATGATGCGGGATTTTCAGTTTGTTTAACTAAAGTGGCCAACACACAATTACGAAGCCAAAAATTCGTATGAAAGTCAACAACATTAGTGTGTCAACATTAATTGATACAGGCAGTGATCTCACTATCATGAGCGTAGACATATTCAAAACAATTCCTAATTTGGAATTAGACAGAAGTAATAGGTTACGTTACAAAAATGTAGATGGCCAAGTTAATATTAGCGAAGGTTCCACTAAGTTTGTATTGTACAATCAATTCGTCGAGGCTCAAGTCGTAAATAATTTCCCTCAAACGGATCTTATTCTTGGATATCCGTTATTTGAAAAGTTGAAAGGAAGCATCGATAGTGTTTCTAAAACCATCACTTTCCGTTCCAATACTAATAAAATTATTAATTTGCCCTTGGCCGAGCGCCGTTATAACGTTGTCCCGGTGTCACCTGTAGAAAATAACATCTGTTTGATATCTGCAGATCAAGTCACTGTTCAGAATCAACAATTACATGTATCACACTCAGAGATAGAAATACAAAAACACTTCGACCAATTGGCTAAAAAATATCCTAAAATGCTACCTAGTGCCGACGGTACCATCAAAGTTACAAACCTTATGGAATTCAGCATCGACACAGGCGATGAAACACCTATTTTTATTCCACAAAGAACATATTACCCCGAAAAGCAAAAAGCGGTAGATGAAATTTTAGAGCAAATGGTTCGACAGGGTGTAGCTACACGAGTTACAAGTTCACCTTGGGGATCTCCAATTATGGCCATTCCAAAAAAGTTTCCTGTGGGTTCATTTAGAGCCGTCGGCGACTATGTGCAAGTGAACAAGAAGACTAAGCCAATGAAGTGTCCTTTTGTAAACATGCAATATGCGTTACAGTCCTTGGGAAAAAATCGCATCTTTAGCGTACTCGATCTTCAATCTGGTTATTGGCAGATTCCCGTCAAAGAAGAAGATAAGCTCAAAACCGTACTCACTAGCAGATCAGGTCTTTATCAAATGAATGTAATGCCTCAAGGTATGTCACATTCACCGATATTTTTTCAGGATTTAGTCAATAGAGTGCTGGGCGAGTTATGCTACACCAAAGCCATCGTATACATGGATGATATTCTAGTTATGAGCACAAATATGAAAGAGCATATTCAAGACGTTGAAGAAGTATTCCGACGATTAGCAGACGCCAACTTGACTATAAATCCAGCCAAATGCCAATTTACGAAAAAATCAGTCAAATATTTAGGATTCTAAGCAACTGATTCCGGGTTGAAAGCAGACCCAGAAGAAATCAAACCCATACTCGCCATTGAAGCACCAATTAATTTGAAAGAAATTGAAAATTTTTAGGAATGTGCGGGGTTTATGCAAGATTTATCAACAAATATCAAGTACGAACTGAACCGTTACGAAGGTTAAAGAAAAAAGACCAACCTTTTGTATGGCAAGAAGATCAAAAACAGGCATTTGAGGATTTAAAGCATCAACTGATGCAGCTACGCACTCTTCGTCAACCGGATTTTAGTATACCATTTGAACTCCACACGGATGCAGCGTCGAAACATGGAATTGCTGTAATTTTATGCCAACGAGTTGATGGTCATCCATACCCTATTTCATTTGCAAGCAGAAGTATGAATGATCATGAAAAGAGATATTCAGTTCAAGAAATAGAAGCATTGAGTATTTTTGGGGTATTAACAAGTTCAGACAATACTTAGAATGTGGACATTTTACAGTCTATACAGATCATTCTAGCTTACAATGGTTCATGAATACCAAAGAAGAACGTCAAGATCGATTACTCAAGTGGAAGTTGAAACTTCAAGGAAATGATTTTTCTATTAAATATATACCTGGTAAAACTAATCACGCCGCCGATTTGTTGAGTCGTAATCCGCTGCCTGAAATTAAAGCAGCCACCAGTATTCCCTCCATCAAATGGGCTGATAAGCAAATGGAAGACGAAGACCTAATTCATATTATCAAGAATTGTCAGGATGTTCGGTACACAGAACGATACAAAGTTATTAGCAACGTATTATATAGACTGCAGCGCGGAATTCGTAACCCAGCTATCAATCAACTTCACCTGGTAGTCCCCAAATCGTTAAGACAGACAATGTTTTTGGAATTGAATGCCACAGAGTTCGCTGGTCATTTTGGTTTTCAAAAAACTTTGGCAAGATTCGAACAACAAAAAATCTGGTGGGAAAACATGGACAGAGATATAAAAGCTAACATCAGCAAATGTATAGTATGTCAAAAGACTAAAACAGGACGGTCATTAGAATACGTGCAAAAACCAACAACGTCCGTAACACTATTTACTCGCGTCGCACTTGATTTTTTTGGGCCCTTGCCTCAATCTGACAGTGGTAACAAGTATATCCTAGTTTGTCAAGATATGTTTACAAGATACGTAGAATTATATCCAATTCCCAATATTACTCAGGACACTTTAGCCGAAACGATTTACCATCACTTCATTCTACGACATGGTTACGTACAAGAGTGGGTTTGTGACAACGGATCCCCGTTCAACGCAACATTTATTCAAATACTAGCACAGTTAGTAGACTCCCACATTCGTTATACACCTCCTTTTCATCCAGAAAGCAACGGATTAGTGGAAAGATTTATGTCCACACTGAGACGAGGAATTTTAGCATTCACAAATTTGACATCACGCAACAACGATTGGGATAAGAAATTAAAACATTTTCGTTTTGCTTACAATACATCATTTCACAACTCGATTGGTGATACACCATTTTTTTTAACTCATGGACGAGATGCTCATACAACCAATTTCAGCAGTTATCTAAAATCAGATTCAGTTACCATACTATCAAAATTCAAAAATGACCTAGTAGAAACCGTTCGTGCAGCTCATGAAATCGCAAATATTCAAAATGAACAGCAGCAATGGTATACAAGTGATGAATCGAAGTTCCAAAAAGACCAACTAGTACTATTGCTCAATTCAACACAATCTAACGCAGCCAAACAAGTTTCTAAGAAATTACTAGACCCTTGGATTGGACCATTCCGAATCATTAAAGTGTTGTCGTCGACAACGTACGATATAGAAAGCATCGAATTAGAAAAAAAGAAATTATTTTTTCACGTTCATGTGTCTCGCTTGAAAAAATACTGTTCAAATTTTGAGGAGGGGCATGTCGTATCAAGTATATAGTTACACAATATTATTTATATATAATTAGATGAACCACAAATCTTAATAAACATCTTTATCTTATCTTACTAAAATATATTATCGTGACTCCCTTAATACAATGTACAATCAGCTCCCACCACTCCCATAGCCACTCTCATTACTCCCGCCACTCCTACCGCTCCTACCGCACCCACCAATTCTACCGCTCCTACCAAACCTACCACTACCGCCGATGCCACCACTCCCATCACTACTACCACCTCTACCATTAATGATGATGCTCCTTCTGTTGTCTCTCTTGTCCGTTTAACATCGAGCAAAAAAAAAAGATCGGTAAGTCATGCCATTGTGGACGCTGTTCTGGAGTCAAGTGAGAGAGCAAATGAGTTGACAGTCAAAAGAATGAGAATTCTTGAGCGCGAGGTCAACGCTCAAAATGAGCAAGACCAGTTTTACAGAAAGTGGCGTCAAGAAATGGAAGAGAAGAAGGATAATGAGCGTGTTCGTCAACAGGCAAAAAATGCTGCTGTTCGAAAGCACCAAGAAAGGCAGGTGGCCATGGCCAATCTTGGGTTGCTCATAAGCAATAAGATGATCGCGAAGGAAGAATACTTCGCGGAAATAGACAAGTTAAATAATCATCATTAATTTTTTTTTCAATAAATAATTCTTTTTTTTTGTCATATGTTTCTTAATATTATAATGATTGGCGTGAATCAGCTAACTTAAATGACATTTGAAGACATATAATTAGTCGGGGGTTGACAGAAGAAGGTACAAGTATTAATATTCAGCTCTTTTCTTTTTTCGATAAATCCTATTGAATATTTCTCAAGAAAGATAAAATGCCAGCTGTTTCTGATCGTCAATTATTAATCAAAGACCTCCAAACAATGGTCACCTTAGAAAATGTACGTAAAAATAACAATGATGATGAAGACTGTGTCAATGTTGCGCCTGCGGCACTTGTTGTTTTATCAACTGTTTTATCCAAACGATACTTGTGAACAAGAATCCAAGTTCCCAAGATCAATCTGGACTCCAAGATTAGTTTATTAAGAAAGCTCGACGCAGGAAGAGTACGACAAGAAATCCGAATGATCCTCAATTCATTCAATGCATTACATGATATGGTCAAAGACCACCGTGTATATCGCAGTACTGGAAAAAAAGCTCAAAAGCTTCCCAAAATTCAAATGATGGTTGCATTGGAGCGTCTGGGTGTCGACGATAACGGTGGTTTCGTTGGAAAGATTGCAAGAAGCGTAGGAATTTCTGGTAAGTTTTACTAAAAATAAGCTATGTGACATATCTGACCAATTATTCACAACAATAGAAGGCTCAGTCATAGCTTTCACAAAGAGATTTATTATTGCTGTTATTGGTTGTCTTCAGAAGAATTATCTTAGCTGGCCTACTGCAGCTGAACGAGTACAAATCAAGCACGAGATTGAAAAAAAGTACGGCTTTAAGGGTGTGTCCGTTTCGTTGATGGTTCTTTGTTTCCTTTGGAGTTTAGTCCTCGATGGATTCGCCAAGATTTTCATTCTCGTAAATCCTTTTACGCTACTACTGGTATGCTTGTCTGCGACCACAACAGAAGAATACTGATGGCTCATACCGGGTATGCAGGTACTACTCACGACTCACGTGTTATGAGTGGATTTCCTATTGCTCTCAAGCCGCAGGAAAAGCTGTCCAATGAAGAGTACGTTCTGGCCGATTCTGCCTATGGTCAAACTAAACAGGTTATCCCTGTCATTAACAGGAATAAAAACCGTGAGTTGAATAAAGACGAAAGGGACTTCCACTTTTATCATGCGAGGGCTCGTGTCAACATCGAAAACTGCATCGGAATGCTGAAAGGGCGGTTTCAGAGTCTG